GTCTTCAGGTTTGTATAAATTGGAGGGAAATGGGGCTTCAACAAAATTTACTGAACTTTACAACAGAAGGGGCTGGTTTATTTAGGTATCCCAAAAGAGCCCATGCAAGAGGCTGAGTACTTTTCACCACAAGCAAAGTATAGGTAATATAATTCATAGATTTAGATCTTTCTGGCCTGTTTTCTGATCAATAGGTGTAAAACTGTCTCCTGGGTTTTTGGTACAGTATTTTAGTGAGACTAGATGGCATTTATACTGAGGAATGGCATTCTCTTTAGAAGGCAGATCATGTTCAGGTTTGTATAAATTTTATTCAGAGGTTTAATTGAAAAAAAAAAAAAAGATAGAAAATATGTTCGGAAGTATGATTTTAGCATCTAGATATTTTATTTGAAGGCAATTATCTCCTAGAACTCGTTGACAAATTTTGAAGATACAGACACAGCTGAGATTTCTATCAGAGGAGATAAATTTTGTGTAAGACCACTTTCTCAGTAATTTGTTTTAGACATGATTTATGGTTACTTTTGTGCGGTTGAAGTACCCTTTCTAACTCAGGAGTTACGAAGCTGCAAATTGTTAGTTGCTGAAGGGTGTGTAGTAGGGAAGTACAGCTAATGCTTATTCTTTTTTGTTTTCTTAGGTATCTGCTTCTTTAGCTATAATACATATTAGAGACTGAATGTTGGGCAAGATGGAATTGATCTGGCTTGGTATGATTAGTGTGATGAGTACAGAAGAAGTATAAAGGGAGAAGTAGCTTAGCGATCCCACGCTCTGTGGCTTGCAAAGCTGCTGCTGAATGTGATATATTGGTTTCGTGTGTCTTCTTGCTTTTGTTTTAGGAATTAAATAAATTGCTAAAGTATTTAGAAAGGTATTCTTATGTTGTACAGAACTGTTGTTGTCAAAAGAAGCCATAGTTCTAAGTGTACTTTTCCTCTGAGGTGATGGTGCTTACTGCTTTGTGGTCTTTGTAGAATTAATTGTAAGAAAACAATTTTAAATAACTCCTAGAAAAATAAAGATGGAAGTTGAAGACCTGTAATGATAAAAAAAAAGTGGTCATAAAATTTAAAAATTACTAATTATAGTCTGAGGTGATGTAAGATTTTTATAGTCTTGCACCAGTTAAAGTTTGTTAATTTGTAGGGCTTGCTTGTGCTAGGAAATCAATGCCTCAGATTTGAGTGATATAGCTTTATGGGAAAGAGCTGTTTCAGAAAACTAGAGACAAAGTTCAGTCATGTATAAGCGTCACGTAGCCCTGTTTTGCTTTGTGTTTGACATAGCATTAATAAGTTTTAAAGAACTCTGATTTCATGAAGGAGCCAGAGCTGTCTTTAAATGTTGTTTTAGTAAAGTCTGAAATGTTATCTGATCCTGGCTTGGCATTCACCAAGTTGAATAAGATTTTATAGCAATGATGAGGTGGAGGGATAGTGTCTGAAGTAAACACTAATATTGCTGTGGCAGATTTATTTTTGTTCAGAGATAGAAGATAAAGAACATTTCTAGTTTAAGTTATTGTATATCTGCTGTGCTAACCTACCTGAAGATTTTAAATACAAATGTCTGGTTTTACCTCCCTATCAGAGTCCATTTTGGTACTAAGGTAGAGTCTGACAGTGGCATGTCATTGGTACCTGAAGGCTGGTAGGATGCCAGCTTTCAGTCCGGGTAAACAAGTACTGAATCCACATAAAGTTTTTTTTGGCTGAATGCATGTCTCACGTAAGAAGAGAGCCCATTCATGGATTTTAGGTGAGAACAGTGTAAGTAATTTAGCTTAAGAAGTCATAATTTAAGTCATAATTTTGTCTACAGAACACTGATGTAACATAGGAATTTTGTCAAAGTGTCTTTGTGCTCCTGTTTCCAGAGTGGTGAAAGGTGATAGTCACTTGCTAATGCTCTGAGTGAGACAGTGGCCTTTTTTGTAGGCAGTGTCAGATAGTGTACTGCTAACATTTACAGTATGCCATTAACTTTTAACAGCCCTTATTTGAGACAGAATTTAACTGAAAATTGAGGCAAATTTTTTTTTCCTCATGTCTTACAATTGATTGTTTTATCTAAGGGAATTAATGGACACTTGTTGCTATACAATGAAACTGGATCTCAGGCTGAAGTTTGGTAAGAAGCTAGCTAGTGTTTGTTGGTGGAGGAAATATCCTGACTAATAAGGGGGAAGGCATTGCAAGCAAGTTGCATTTGTTATACAGCATTAAGTTCAACTTCCAAGAAGGAATGTAGCTGATAGAACACTTGTAGTTGTACTACATGGATACATTTGCAAAATATTGAGAATTAAAGTAAAGGTTGTAATTGATGTGGATCAAGGATTTAATCAATAACCATCTTATCTGTAGTTTTAGCCAAACTATTTAACACAAACCACAGTTTGTTACCTTAAAACAGTAAGCATGCATTAGTTTACTTCTTGGTTTGTAAAAGTTGTGATTGCCATGCCATTTCTCTCTGATGATGTCGTGAGGAAAGAAGGATCAGTTGTTGCCAAAAGTACACACAACTGTCTTATGTGGAATAATGGAAAAGGCCAAAGTTTCAGTTCCGCTGGATTGCGCAGCAATCTTTTGAAGGATGTGGTAACTGAAGTATGGCATTAAGCATGAGTGAGTGGTGTGGGTTTGCGAGGCTGCATGTGAGCTCTGAGTCTGGTGAGCACTTAAGGCTGTGGAGAGTGTGGTGGAGACATGTTCTGGCTGGAGCTGGTCCAGCTCCAGCAGAACTGACAACGAACTGAAACAGTGGAGTCCTGGAAGTAAACTGCCTCCCTATGGTCTGTTTTGTGTGTTTCTGAACTGTGCTTATCAGCTGGTTTCAGTTTTAGGAATGCAGTGTAGGCAATTCAAGCTCTATGTTTCAAGAAAGCAGTTACGATGCTTCAGAGTTGAGGCTGGCTTTGGTAGCAGTACAGCTGCTGTTCTTGTGGACCGTGACTACTGAAGTCTGTCCTGGCCTGTGATGGCTCTGTGCCAGGCATTCAGTTCAGGTGTCTCACCAGGTGTGTCACAAGTGTTCTGTCTACAGATGACCGAAAGCTGGCTATATTAAAACAATAAGAAGTACAATGCATGGTTCCTCTATGGGTTTTTCCTTGCCTTCCCTCTCCACCCTGCCTTCACGTCTTGCTTGTATTTATGAGGTATCCCCAACTAAATAAATGAATTCTGGAGTAATGAAACAATGTTAATTGATATAAGCAGGGTGCAGTCTCATTACTCTGTTCTGATGTTTTGGCATTGGCATGCTGAGTGGATTCTGCTGCTGTGGTGTTCCTCTTTTTTTTTGCTTCATAGCTATTGTTTCCTTTATGAACAAGATCTAAAAATTAAAAATTTCTCTGATTGTTAGCTATACTAGTCCTAAGCATGATTTGGAAAAATAGTAGACTGAAGGAAAAATAAAGTGGTTGGTTGATCAGCTGGTATATTTTAGTGCTAGATGTTAGCATGGTGTCTACCCAGAATTTTTCATGTGTTTATTGATTATGACTATCTTTTGTAATCAACTAAGTTTTCTGATTCAGTTTAGAGAGAAGAGGCAAAGTGCTCTCTTACTTTATTTGAGAGGACATACAGAATTGTAACTAACTTCCACTTAGGATTTCCTGATGCTTTTTTTCTGTTTTCCTTGCATCAGACAGTACCACTGATGTGTTATCATTCTGGTTGTATATAGCAGTGGTTTTTTTCCTCAAAAATACCTTGAGAACATGTAATTATAGAGCTTTGCTTATCTGCATTTTTGTTCTGAATTAAGAAACTAATTAAGTGTAACCTACTTCAACTTGCAGGACAGAGAAACTCATTCATAAAGACAAGCCATCAATTTTGGGATGAATAATTCCTTGTAACTTTTGGGGATTAGATGTTTTGCTTCGTCTTTCTCCTTTCTGCAGCCTTGCAAGTACTAATATGGATAATGAATCTTTCCTGTAAATTTTTTTTTAGGAAATTTTTGCGTCCTTTCATAAAACTAAGTAGTCTGAGACATTCCCTGAGGGATGGTACTCATTGCTGAGGCATGTTCTATATATTAAGAGGTGAATATTAGGTGAAACAGGGGTAGGAAACAAAGTCTGTGCACTACTTTGTGCCTGTTCTCCTCTGCTTGGTGAATAACGGAAACTGCTTTTGCATTCCCTTATGGTCTCCAGCCCTGATCTGATCTATCAGTGTTTAGATACTCTTCCATTCAGATGCAGTGTAAGGCTCAGTTTCCTTTAACACTTTTATTTGTCATTATCCTCTCTGTATCTAAGCTTTTCTGGGGGGTAATTAGAGAGGGAATCTCTATTTTTCTTCTTGGAATCTATTTCTTCTCCACCTAGCTTCTCTATTTCTTTACTCTTCAACAGGGACTCTGCTTGTCCTAGTCAAAAGATTTGGAGGAAAGAGTCCCAATGGCTTCTATGAGATTAGCTTTGGTTTAGCAGTCTCCGTAGCTGAAAAGAGACACTGGAATATATCATCCAAAGCAGAGATGAGAATGGAAAGATAGAAGTTTAGTGATTATTACTGAATTGTTGAATCCTCCTTGCTAAATTGTAATAGGTAGAAAGGAAATGCAACACACAGCAGTTTAGCGTATGAGGAAGTGGTAAATGTAGTCGTACCTGACTTTGTAAACAGTGAATCAGTGCTTTGGGTATTTATCTCCTGTGAAACTTTATAGTTACAAATAGGGAAAAAAAACAATCTATTGGTAGCTGTACTACTTTTGTCATATTCTGGTTGTATCTTTATTGTGTGGGAAAACAACCCCCAAATATATATTTGCGTGTGAGTTTAAATTCATGGCCACAAGTGATTCAAAAATCAAAAAGAATTAGGTATAACAGTTTAAATATATTATTAAATATAGGCATTTGTCATGCATTTAGTAATATACAAAGAGGTAATATTGCAACATCTTTGACAATTTTTTGTTTGTTTTAAATTTGTATATTGATTTATGTATGCTTTATTCATCAGAGAAAGCAACCAGTGAGATGAACACTGCAGAGGACTGGGGCCTCATCTTAGACATCTGTGACAAAGTTGGACAGTCACGCACAGGGTAAGTGACACTAGAAATTTCATCCCCAAACTTTTAAAATGTTATTTCAGTCTGATACTCAGATGAGAGGAATGAAATTTTTGTGATCTTGTATAGACTTTTGCAACAGCTTGGTGTAACTTAAATTTATTACAAGTAAAAGGCAAATGTATGGATTTTCTGCTCAAATATTTTGCATTTCTTTGGAGATACTGGCTGATGTGTTAAAATTAGGACTTCTGTACTTTTCACCAGTGTAACAGGATAAATAAACTGGTATGTTTTAGCAGTGTCACTGTAAACCCAAGAGACTTCATTGGGGATTTTTGTTACAGAATCATAATCTAGGTTGGAAGTGACCCCCAGAGGTCATGTAGTCCAACTGCCCCAACTCAAACCACGTCTAATTAGATCAAGTTGCTCCGGACCATGTCGTGTCTTGAATGCGTCCAAGGTCAGAGTTTCCACAACCCCTATGGGTAATATGTTTCAGCATTTAACTATCCTCACAGTAAGTAAATAAATAAATAATCCCGCAATCTGATTACGATCTTTCTTGTTCCAACTTGCCTGTTGCATCTTGTCCTATGATCGTGCAGCTCTAAAAAAGTCTGTCAGCCTCTCCTGTGTATTCTCCAATTGATTAGTTGTAGAAAGTCCCCTCTTAGTGTGCTCTTCTGAAAACTGAAAGCAGCTCTTCATCTCTCCTTGGATGTGACTCTCCTCTGAGCATCCTGGCAGCCCTCCCTTGGATTTCTGCAGTGCATCAATATCCTTCTTGCATTGGGGAGCCCCAAACTGGATAGAGTACTCTAGATGGAATCTTACAAGTGCAGAATGGAGGGGAAGGATCATTTCTCTGGCCCTGCTGGCTGTGCTGACCACTTGTTTGACCCAGGATGCAGTTGGTTGTCTTTGCTGCCAGGCTGCACTGCTGATGTCTGTCACGCAATAGAACCTGCAGATTCTTTCCTGTGGAGCTGCTTTTTAGGTGGTCAGCTCCTGGCTTTTGCTGGTGCAGACCATCAGAAATAAAACACCTTGCCATTGCTCTTGTTGAACTTAATGAAGTTCTAGTCTACCCATTTCTTTAGCCTGTCCAGGTCTCTCTGAATAGTAGCCCTGCCCTTCAGTATACCAATTGCTCTCCCGCATTTTGCTGTTGTCAGTGAAGTTGCTGAGAGTGCGCTGCCTCTCATCATTCAGGTTATTAGTGAGGATATTTAACAGTGTTGGTCCCAGCAGAGATCCCTGAGAAACCCCATTAGTTTACTGTCCTCAGTGCTGCCAATTCCAGCTAGGTGACAACTCTTTGAGTTTAGGAGGCCAGACATTTTTCCACCCACATTATCCTTTTACCCAGCCAATATTTCTATTTCAGCAGTTGGGTGATAAGGATACTGTTATGAGCTTCATCTGTATGTTGAAACTTTGCGAAACCCAAGATATAAAGCATCTGCTGCCATTCCCTTGTCCTCACTACCAGACCACTATTGTCTGTCACAGAAAGCAACAAGGTTCTGTATTTCTTCCCTTTGTTTTGCAAAGCTATTCTCTGACATCAGGGCTTTGATAAATGTACATTTTGAAAATGTGATATTAAATTAAACACATCTTAACATGGGCTAGTAATGCTTACTTTATTCTTTACTGAGCTCTCTCATAGAATTTATGCATGCACTCAGTTTTTGTACATGAAAAGTAAAAGTATAATTCGAGTTAACAAATAAAAAATACGGTTTAAAGACATTATTTCAATGTATCTATAGTATAGTTAGCATTAGGCTTTGGAAATGTTTTAAATACATCTCCAAACATTCCCTGTATCAATTCAGGCAAGGAATAGCCTCAAAAAGAGAGTTTTGCCATTGCTGCTGTTTAGTGAAAGTATTCTCTGAGAATTACTTGGATTGCCTTGTAAAACTGTGGGAAACAGTATGAGATGCCAGAGAGCAAATTCTCACTTGGGACTTTTGTTCCAAAGGACAGGTTTGCAAATAAGATTATTCCTTGGGATTAGAGATCGTCTCTAGAGGGGTACTTATAAATAGCATGGCATATTGAGACCTCTGTGCTTGTTGCATGTAACTGTAGTTAACAGCTGGCAAGTTGTTAATAATGCTTCATATTAGTCTATGTAAAGCTGCATTTCTGCTCCTTTAGCATGTTGATGCTGAGCCTGTAATGATATTATTAAAGGCTTCAGTGTGCTATTTAATCACTGACAACATTTCCACAGGCAAGACTTAGTCTCACAACAGTTTAGCCTGAACAGTGCTCAAATGTATGTAGCTGCAAGAGATGGATGCTTGGGAGTACAGACAAAGCTAGAGATCTTCTGGTGGTGTGCAGCTAAATTTCTCAGCAGGAATTTCTGTTATGATTTATGGGTTTTGTTTGGTTTTGGGTTTGCTTTTTTTATTTTTATTTTTTTTTTAATAAAGCAGTTGTTTTATCATGGCTGTGACTTGAACCTTTGTAATATTTACCCTGCTTGTAATAGGCTGCCAGCTGACTCACTGCTTAAATTCAGATTCTGTTAAAACTTGATGATAGTGGGTTTTCTTGGTTTTGATGGATTATGTCATGCCATTGCAAGATAAAGCAAGACAAAATTCCCCATTAAGAAGTTTAAATCAGATATGCTACACTGTTTGAAATTCTCCTGCAGTTTAAGTTCCTGTGGCAAGGATGCTAGTCTTCTTAACGAGGATCTGCTGTAATCTTTTAACCAATTCTGGTCCAGCACAAGCTGTCTGTTACTGTTCTTGACAGAAGTTTAGTTTATAAAAATCTCTGGTTTATGGGTTTTCTTTGTAACAGTCTTTAAGCTCCTGCATGCCTGCAGCATTTTAGATTTAGATCGTTTTACACCTGAAGTCACAGTAGACTAGGACTATGCTTTATTAAGTGGCACTTTTTTGTGAATTTCAAAATATTGATTAGACTTGATGCCAAAATTTTCATAGAAAACACTGGAAGGGCAGTAAATTCAGTAATACTTTTAATAATATGCCTTTTTTACAATAGCATATATCAAGTATTGCCATATGTAGTGTGGAATTAACTTGATACTTTCTGCACGTTTCACATATCAGGTTTTTACGATGATCTGAAGTTTGTCTATGAGACAATCATGTTTTTTTAATCTCTGAATTTGCAGTTGCATGTTGTTTGTATCCCATTTTTGGGAATATTGGTAGTTCAGGGAGCAAACTGCCTTTTAAACATGGAAACATAATCAAAACAAAGGTTTTACCAATAGAGACAATCTTTTTTTTCTGTTTTTATGCAGCATTATTGAAAATTTGTTTATTTTTTAAAAAAATATTATATTTGCCTGGCATTTAAAATCATTTCACTACAGGAAAGGTATAAATTTTTGCATAGTGTTGGTTTTCTGCAATTAAAATGCTTACACAACTGAATCTATAGTTTATCAGCTCTGAGTAAAATAACATTTTAAAATTTGAATGATTCATTAAGTGGAATAGAAGGGAAAATTAAAGGCCACGGTATAGTTTATCATGGTGCCGTGCCCCCCGCCCTGGCCCTTCCTCAGTCAGTTTGGTGCTAGCCAGTTCTAAAGTTTAATTCTGTTTGCATCTGGCTTTGAGAGGGTTGTGCCTTTTGTATTAACCTAATGAGACATATCAGTCTTTATGTCTGAAACTACTACAACTTCATTTTTTTTTTTCCCAGAAGAGTTACTTAAGAAAAATGATGGCTGAAAAATAATAAAGTCAGTGACTGGGGGAAGACACCCGTGATTGAGAAAATAGAAATGCTCATTGCAGCACTCTATTGGGGTTGGATATTGAGAAATTGTCATTGAGAAATGGTTTCTCTGTATTGCTGCTTGCCTAACTTTGTCCTGATTCCTTATGGATTAATCACTGCCTCAGTGAGTCAGTATTCTGGTTAGCTGATTCTTCTTTGGCTGTTTTTGTGCTTGTTCCTACAAGAAAGGACAGTCAAATCGCTTACTTGATAGTCTTCCAAACTAAGTTGTGTTGGGTAAGTTGAGAGGGGTGGGGGGGAAACCAAACCAATCTCAGTAGCACTTTATAGAGTCATTGCAGTATGTGTCTAACAGGCTGACCAGAAAGCTCTTTGACTAGCTTGTTTCTAAAGAAAGCAAGGAGGAAAACTGAGTTACATGTGTAGTCTTGAGCCCCACAGTCAGTTACCTTGGACTGTAAATGAATAATAAATTCCTGAAAATATATGAAATGTTTTATGCAGAGTGGTATTTTAGATTCCAATTACTGTTAATTTTGTCTTTGTAAATAAAATATAATCAATACACTATTTTTTACTCTCTAAAACTAAGACTGAAATTTATTGTGATATATATTTTTTTTATATATTGGTATATAATACCATAGCTTCTACTGCAACTTGCCCTGTTTTACCCCTTAGGATTTATTATTCCCACTCACTCTGCTTCCTCTGAAATTTTGATTGTAGAATCATTGGAGAACAACTGTTGTCCAGTATTTGTGTAGCATGGTCTGGAGGGATGCATAATAGAATTCTGTTCTCATGGGGTACATACCTTCCCTCTGATTTCTGTATAGTGCTTCTCATAATTTACAAAATAAATTGTATGATAAATTAATTTGAAGTAAAAGTAAGAATTACAGTTCTGTCTAGAAGAGGGATTCTTTGTGTGACTAAACATTGGTAAGCCTGGATTACTTTTTTTTTTGGTGCAGATGTAATTAGAAGTTTTTTTAAAAACATTTGAGTATGTTAAAACATAACACTCAAATAATGATAATTTCTGTTGAATGTATGAGAACTCTTTTTTTTTTAAGGTGAGTTTGTCAATTACTGAAGGGTTTCTTGTTTTTTTTTTTTTTTATCTTTACAAAGTCGTACTTGTTATGTGGAAGATCATTTGGTTTTGAGGCTTTCTTGTTACTTTACTACTTTTTAATAAGTTTTTGGATTCCTTAAAAAAAAAAATCTTAGGCTAATGGTTCTGTTCCTGAACTGCTAAGCTCTTGATCCTGCGTCCTCCCTTTATAAATACTGGTTTAACAATTAATGGACATGCATTTTTTTGTGCTTGCATTCATATCACATTGATAGTCCTACTCATAAATTAATGGTTAAAAAAAGTTATTTCTAAAAAATTTAACATGGATTATTTCTCAATTAAAGTGAACGTATGAGAAGTCAGGTAATTAATAGATAACAGGCAGTGCTTGCCTTAAAGCCTTCATTTGTAATTATTGGTTATATGAAGGTATACATTAAGTGATTTGCAGTCTTAATGTGTGACAGCATTTTCTATAATTAGTACTAATAAATGAGGTGGACATTTCTGTAAAATGTAGACACTGCCAAATATAGTATAGCCAAGCAGTGGTGTAACTTATACCTAAGTTTCATGTTAGTTCTTGGATATCAGTTCAACAGAAAAAAAAATCTGCTTCCAAAAAGAAAAGTTACTATAAATACTCCAGAAATGCATAAAATCTCTTAGTTTAAACATACTTTCTCTTTCCCTACTTACCCTGTTCCAGGGCTATTCAACAGATAATGCTTGTACACCCATGATAATTCCTACCCCAGCCTTGCTCAGCCTTCCACCACCTTTAAAGACAGAACAAAATAACAGTCACACAGATTTTTATTATGCTAAACTGTGTCTGAAACTCCTATTCAAATTCTGTCATAAATTTCCTTTTAACCTTATTTCTGTCTACCACAACATAGGTAAGACTTGAATTCTGTATTTAAATGTTTTGAAACTTTGATGTAATATGTCTAACAATTTTTTTAGCATTTGTTGGTTCATTGCATATCTTATTTATAAATGTTATTCTGTAGATTAAAAGAGACCCTGAGGAATGTAATGGTGGTAATTTAAAAAAAAAATAGCACAAGGGTGTTTGTAATCAGCATGTAAGTAAATGTTCTTATATATGTATGTGAAATACAGAGGAGTAGTAGGTGCATGGACTACAGAGAATTAGTTCTCTAAGGGATTTCTTATCTTTCTGGAGTTTTTATGGTAATTCTCACTAACTACAAAAGGTAATGTAAGTTACTGAAGCGTTTTGATAACTGAGAATGCTGACAATCCTACAGATAGAAATGGCTACAACTGTTAATGGTGTTTATTTTTTTTAATGTTGCACTTATAAGCTACTGAAAAATTTACTGATGATGTCCTGGAGAGCTTGTTGTCTGTTAACATTGTCATGCATTGTCATGTGCACAATAGGAAACTGTGGTTTTAAATTTGTCTTGTGTTTTTTAGACCTAAGGACTGTCTCCGCTCGATTATGAAGAGAGTGAACCATAAAGATCCCCATGTTGCGATGCAAGCATTAACTGTATGTCCTTTTTAATGTAGTGCTTTTCATACCTCAAAAGTTATATTGCAAAAATTCTTCTCTGAATTTTGATCTTTCTTTCTTTAGCTTCTAGGAGCATGTGTATCGAACTGTGGTAAAATCTTTCATCTAGAAGTCTGTTCAAGAGATTTTGCCAGTGAAGTAAGCAATGTGTTGAATAAGGTAATGTATTGCACTGATATATACAATTCATAGAAAAGATAAATTAGAGAACTGGGGTAATCTGAAAGTGGAATGCAGTCTACTTTTGGAAGGCTGGAAATTTGGTGGCAGAGGGAAAGATACAAGGTTACTGGGAAAACTGTGACTATGGAAAGAACTTCCTGAATGCCACTTCACACTACAGTTGCCTATGTATTCTGTTCAAGGGAGGTGGGGTGTTAATTTATAAAAGTACAAAATAATTTTCACGTCAAATAACAGCAATGAAACACTAAATACAGATTTAGTGAAATTGAAATAATAAAGGGCTTTATATAACCTTGTTTTACTCTATTTTGGGCCTGGTACATACTGCATTAGTACAAACACAATGCTGGTGTACTATTCTCCCTTTTTAATAAAGATATCCCTTAGTGATACGCTTGACTTCAAAACAAAGTGTCTGTATAGTTTATATTGATAGTAATGTGATATTATTTGAAATGAAGGAATTAAGAACAGATTCCTACGTTATTTAACTAGTTTTTATTTTGCTTACAGGGTCATCCAAAAGTTTGTGAAAAGCTGAAAGCCCTTATGGTGGAATGGACTGATGAATTCAAGAATGACCCACAGCTTAGTTTAATATCTGCTATGATAAAAAATCTTAAGGAGCAAGGAGTTACTTTCCCAGCTATTGGTTCACAGGTATATTAAATTTTGTGTTTTTTCTTAAAGGGTAGCAGAAATTCTTTTTATCCTCAGCTCTGTATTTTACAGTTTGTAGTTTTGAATTTTATAATATGTTGGGCAAAACAAAATCTTTCTTGTCTTAATAAAACATTCCTTTGAGGGGCGAAGTGCTGTGATTTACTTTAGATTTTTATATTGCAGATGAATACAAATCAAAATGGTGAACTTAATGCATTGTCATTTTTTTGTTGAATTAATTTTTACATCTTTCACTTTTGGTTAGGCTGCTGAACAGGCAAAAGCAAGTCCAGCTCTAGTTGCCAAAGATCCTGGTACAGTAGCCAACAAAAAGGAAGAGGAGGATTTAGCTAAAGGTGAGTGCGTTTGCTTGCTGACCTGATGAATATATTGGTAAATATCAAATAAAGCAGGAACAAATGTTTTGCTTCCTTCCTCTATGTGAATAGTATATTTATGGATTGTGATTATGATTTCTATTCCTTTCTTTTTGTACCCTTCCTGGAGGGTTACAGATTAAAACTATTCTGTGGGTAAAAAATACAAAAAAGTTCCTGATTTTTACTTCTTTTTCCCTTGCCAAACCTAAACAACACAGTAAAAAAATCTGCAAAATGTCATGTTAAGGACATGCTCCACTATGGAAATGTTTGATACTAGTTCCGCACTTGGATTTTCCTCTTCCTGGGGCAAGTGAAGCACATTCATTTGCAATTTAAACATTTTATGGAAGGAGAAAATAAGGATTATAGTATAAATTGCATGCAAAGTATTTTGGGTATACTATTTTCAACTTTTATTCCTTTGAATACTGCTTCTGTAGCATACTTTAAGGCTTTGATTGCTGTGAGCATAAGTGATTGTTAAATGTCTCTCTGCAGTCCCACTAAACAAGACTGGGGTGGTTTCTTTCGATTTACAGTTGTACTAAGGTATATTTAAAGGTCATTTAATGATCCTATACCAGACATGTGTGAAGTGTTATTCTTAGAGTGGTTTGATCTTTATGGTCTAGGTGCTGGTTTTCAAGGTGAAACTTCAACAATGTAAAGGCATCAGATGTTAGCCCATGTGCATAGTATGGCTTTGGCCTTAAAGTTCTAACAGTGGCTGTTCACTATATGAGTGAAGTTCTTGTGCTAGTAGTTGGTGGATGCTTGCAGTATCTCATCTTTGATAGATTTTTGTTGTTGTTGTTGTTTAGCTATTATCTAATGTAACACTGATCTAGTTGTGTTACTGATGATTTCTTCAACAGTTGACCCACCAAATTCTACTTTTAAAGGAATCTGTGTTTCAAAGGTTCATATTCTGCATAGGTTCTCTAATGTTTGCTGTCTTGTTTTTTGTGTCCCACTCTGTCCCTTCTTAAACATGGTATTTTTTTTTAGTAAGCTTGGAGGAGTTTAATATAAGTGAAACCTTTCAGGTCAGTCAAGTTTAACTGAAAATGACCAGGAAATGTAAAATTATTCAAGGAATGACAGGGAGAGAAAAGGAATGGACAAAATGTTGCTTGTCTAAACAAAAATAATTTTCTTAATTATGAATTAAGGAGGCACTTTTTTACTGTGAGAGTGACTGAACATTGGCACAGTTTGCCCAGGGATGTTGTGGAGTCTCCACCCTTGGAGACCCTGCTTGAGCAGGGTGTTGGGTGAGATGACTCTCCAGAGGTGTCTTCCAACCTCAGCCAGTCTGTGTGATACTCTGAATCTGTGAATCTCTGAAGACGCCTGAACTAATGGAGAAACAGTGTCTACCGGAACAGCTGTATCTTTTTAATGTTTCAAGCAATCTGGAAAAGTTCAGCATCATGTATATGCTAGTAAGAATGTAAATACTTTACATCCGTTCAAAGTAATAACAATAATATAATAAAATAATTAAAACGGATGACTTTAGTGAGTTAGACATTTGTGCTTAAGTGCTATTTATTCATCCTGTCCATGTTGAAAACCTCAGTAAATCTATGGGCAGAACTGTGGTCTCTAGTTGTAAAACATCTTTTTTATTTTTTACCATTATTTTTGTGTGAAAGACAGAAGTTGATTGTGATGCAACAGAAGTGGAATGATAATGAAAGTTTTTATAGAGCTAAATTTTTGTACCATTCAACCCATTTTTATAGGATATTTTCATGTGAATAACTCTTCTTTTGTAGCTATTGAACTGTCACTAAAAGAACAAAGGCAACAGCAAACAACACTTTCCAGTTTGTATCCAAGCACCTCAAGCCTTTTAACAAATCACAAACATGAGGGCCGAAAGGTTCGTGCAATCTATGATTTTGAGGCTGCTGAAGACAACGAATTAACTTTTAAAGCTGGAGAACTTATAACTATCCTTGATGACAGGTAACTTATATAGAATGCCTACTAGAAGTATATCGGACTGTAAAAATCAGTCGGAAATAATCATGTCTTCTATGTAGAAGCATACATTGGAATACAATTGCAATAAAAAATATTTACATATTAAATACTTTATTTAGTTATCTTCTAGATTTTTTACATACAAATGTAATTGCATAAATATTTCTGTGTGTATCACAAATGATATTTATGTACAAGTAATATAAATGCCTTGTACAGTGCAATTGTTAGGAAAATTCCATGTGAGTATGGTTTTTTTAATGTATGGGGTTTTGAATTTTTTTTAATTTTATTTTTAGTGATCCAAATTGGTGGAAAGGTGAAACTCATCAGGGTATAGGATTGTTTCCATCTAATTTTGTAACAGCTGATCTTTCCGCTGAACCAGAAATGAGTAAGTAAGATTACATTTATATATATATGTTAAGCCTTGCTGTGGCGCAAGGGATATTTCTGTTGGAATTTCCCTATTTCCTTTTCCTTGTTAAAGTTCAATTGCAAATTAATGGGATACTCAAAGTAAAACTGAGGAGCCCTTGCTGTGCTCTCACAAACAACCGTTGCATCTTTATGTGTCAGATTAAGGTTGCCCAAGCTGGCGTCTGCTGAAAAACATGACGCTGTCTACTGCTGGCCTTGTCAGTAGCTTCCTTGAGACTCATTTAACAACTCCACTGACACCTAGGTAAATGTAGACAAAAGCAGTTTTGTTCCAAATTGCTTTTTTTGCTTGGTTGCAATGGTACATATCTAATCAAGGTGAAACTGAAGGTCCCTGGGGCAGGTAGGAATTGGAGTCAGATTACCACTGTTTAAACAAATCAAGAAACCTACATACTGTAGGTATGTATGTGTGCTTAATGGAAGGAGGTTTTTTTTCTGCATACTCGTTATCTTGTATTTGCTTACATCAGTCTAACCTACTCTAAATATTTAATAAAAATATTAAATGTTAGACAAGATTTTAATACTATAGAATTGATTTCTGTAAATCTGATGGATTTGCAAGGTTACTCTCCTGTGATCTCAAGATGAGTGTGTCAAAGGTATGAGCAGGTCAGCAGAATTACATGCTGTAGGAGTCATCTGTTCTATATTAAGATTGATAGGAGTAGTATGATAAGAGTAGTATTTGGCAGGTTTTTTGTTGTGGCTTCCACTGCAGAGCAGTGAGATACTTTTCCAGGTACTGTCTGATGGAAAAGGAATAGTAAAACTTGAGAACTTTTGATTCTATGCTTTGCTCTGGAGAAGGGAAGGTTCCAGTTTGTCACAGATGTTTTCTCTTTAACCTGACTCATTAGCCCTATTTCTTCCAGTCACTCTCTCAAGTCTGTTTTCCTGATGACTTATTAGTAATCATGCTATGTGCAGAGAGTCTATGATAAAGACGTATTACTTGCTAAAACACGTTTCTATTGACCTTGAGTCAACTGATGTATTTATTTTTTTTTATGCAATTTATACATTTGTTTAAGAAACTTGTTTAAGTTTGTGGAGATGGGTTTGGCCTTCAAATGTCAACAAAATACTAATTTTTAAAATTTTCACAGTAAATGTTTCAAATGCAAAGAATGTAGGCAACATGTTAGCTGTATAACATTTGTCAGTTTTGTTTATTTTTGTTTTATAAAATTGCCTGTTTATCTTATAGTGAAAGCTGAGAAGAAAACAGTGCAGTTCAGTGATGAAGTTCAAGTAGAGACAATAGAACCTGAGCCTGAACCAGTTTATATCGATGAAGTAAGCATGATAAAAGCACTGATTTTCAACTTCTGGTAGATTTAAATATGTGATGTTTAACCCTTTCATCCTGTACTTCAAAACCAATTTGAAATATCAAGAGAACATAATCAAAAGAGAATGGGAAGGCAAAGTTGATTAAATTTAAAAAAAACAAAATAAACCTGCAGTATTCTAAGTTGTTCATTTGTCTGAAGTTCTTAGGAATTTCTGAAACTGAATTTGGAAACTGCATTCTATTTAGGGCCCTACTCCAGAATTGTGCAACTCTTCACCTCAAAACTAGAAGCTTGGTGTACAGTGATGCATTTGCTTTCAAGTTTTGCATTAAGTACTTCAGGATACCTCAGAGATACCCATCTTGAATGCTGTCTTAGATTTATTTCCAGTATAACCATCGCTGTCTTCCCCCAGTATGAAAGATCTCTTTCTTGTGAGGTTTTTGTTGCTCTGTAAGTAATATAGTAAGATTTGCACAATCTCACTGCAGTGATTCTGCAAGGTTCCAAGGAACTCTCAGCCCAGGATGTTTTTCCCCTGCCCTTTTTTTTTTTTTTTTTTTTTTTTTTTTTTTCTCTTCCCTTCCCCCCTGCCCCCTCCCTCCCAGGTGTCTTAGAATTGCTCTCTTCAGAATTTTTCTCTTTTTCTCTCACGACCTTCCATTTCTTTCTCAGCTACGGTTCTGTCATTGTTTTTTGACATGAAAAATCAGTTACTGCTTTCCTAAAATCCTATATAATGCCTGCCTCAAATACTCTTCCTCCCAAGAGATATTAGTTTGTAATCTACTGAAATAGCTTATTTTAGGCATCTGAGGTGCCTTCCAGCTTTTGTCTTCTGTGATTCCATGACAGTGTGTGTTTTAGTGTCTTGTTTTGTTTTTAAAATTACCATAGTATAATTTTAAAGGAAGTAGTTAATTTGGCTTCTTCCTGCCTTTCCTGGAGTTAAGAAGGAAAAAGCATGGATTTATTTTCCACTTTGATACAACCTATATAACTCTGGCCTGTTAAAGGCTATTTATTTGATAGTATTTGGATAAAAAGTGATTTTTAATCATTTGCGTGTAATGTTTGGTGAAGCAATATAGTTCACTCCAAGGCGTACTTTACAAAGAGTTTATGCCTGTTCATTTTCTGCCCTTTGGTATTTTTATAAATGGGTTGCACTTAAACTGGTTAATCAAGGATGATTTATTCTGAAGGCAACCATATAACCTCTCCAAACATCATCTTAAAACCCCCCTTTCATATATATTAGTAATGACTTTGCTCATGTGCTGATAGGCCTCATACACTTACAAAATGCAGGATAGTTTTTCAGTGGATTTAGTTTCAAGGACCCATTTCTTTTTACAGTACTCTCTCAATGTGTTCTGTCAAAACATTTCCACTAATCCCACTAGGTGGTGGTATTGCCTATGTAATAACTAGAATGGAAAAACAAACTGCTCTGGAAATACTGTTTAGAAGGACTTCTAGGAATAAAAGGGTATTCTGCCTGTTCCACTTGTTACTAATAACTTTTATTATTTGGCTTTTCCTTGTTCAAGCATCTTCATTCCTGTAAAGTAGACTTGTATTTTCTTAAAGTTGGTCTAGGTGATTCCTGAGTCCCAAAAGATCCAAATAGCTGCTGTAAATAGCTGCTTTAATTTACAATCCTGAAAGTGTTAATTCTTCTCCCCCACATATGCCTTAATTATACCATTTGTGTTGTAGGATAAAATGGACCAACTGTTGCAGATGTTACAAAGTGCAGATCCATCTGATGACCAGCCAGACCTCCCAGAACTGCTTCATCTTGAGAGTAAGAAAACCTCATGGGGTTTTTTGTTGTTGTTTTCCTCTCTATTAATTACCTGTATCAAAAAAAATTGAAACTAAGCTGAAACTGCTTCAGCTTCATGTGCACATCACAAGCACGCCTGAGAAAAGTGTCTGAGCTGTAATTATCTTCTTTCTTCATGTTTCCCACATCTAAGAGACCAAAGTGCAAAATTTTAACTTAAAACAAGCCCACTCCTCTCTCAAGAAAACTATATTCTATATTCTTTTTCTTTTCAAGACCCAAGAATACTTAATTCAGTCATTTATCCTTTTTTTTTTTTTTTTTTTTTTCCCCCCCCCCTTCATGGAATAGCACAGTATAAGTTGCAAAAGGACTGTAAGGAAGATTCCATGAGAGGAAGCAGAAATACTACTAAGGCTTAGAATAGATCTCTTGATGTCCTGCATGCCTTTCACTTGTGTGTGTATTTCTGTAGGACCCTAATATTCACAAATACTTTATAGAATGCTACAAATTAGACTCGTCCTTTAGACTCAAATTATTCAGACTACCTCTTCAAAGAGGCATTGTAGACTGTTCTACCTGGGTTGATAGATGCATCAAAAGTTTTGGAAGGGAACTTTGGAGAAGGAAGTAAAGAAACTTACCAATTATGAGACAGAACATTGGCTTAAACTGACAATTTGGATAGGACCAAACTCTGTTAAAAATAAAGGCAGATTCCAGATCCTTCTAGAAGTTAATCAGGAAAAAGTGCTTGAGCTTGTAGTTCTTGGATATCTCCTATCTTTCCACATCCATCTTGTTCATCATACCTGTAAATGAATCCTGTTTTAGGAGCTGCACATCTGTGACATGTCTGCATGTTTTCTAGTTCCACTAAAGCTAAAGGCAAGTAAAAAGAAACATGAATGGTTTTATTCTTTCAAGTACCAAATATAGCTGTAGAGACTGTTGTCTAAGAAGCAGATTGCCTATATCTGGTCCAGGACAGAGGCAAAGAAATTAAAGGTATGCTTGTCAACCATCCTCCAGCTATGGCTTACATTAAGATCTCTTTTCAAAACACATTGGGAGATCATTAGAACAATGCTGAATTTTATATTAACCTGGTGGGACTGCTTCTAGAATCTGAAAGCTGTAGTGTAGTCAGATGGCTGCTCCCCAGCTAACCTACAACAGTGCTTGCCAGACATGTGGCTGCATATAGTTCTACAATGCCATATTTAAGACTACTTGTACACTCATGTAGATCTTGGGGAGCTACTATTTTTGACATAGATTATAGGAATTTTATTATAGATGTGTATTGGATCTTGGGATCTTGGGTTCCTCCCAGTGGTCAGGTGCTTGATCAACTTTTGGCAAAAAAACATTTTCTCCTGCCATCCAGGTGTCCAGTCACAAATGTCTTTAAATTGGAGAGCTCATCACCACACTTCCCAGGAGCCTAGGGTTTGTGGTTGCCAGCAGTTCAGTTATCATGTTACCATGCAGACATCTAAGCAATTCTTTTCATGCCTTTCACAACACTTTGTGTTTTATGTAAATATAGGCTGAACTTACATCAGGTTTTACATCTTTTCCCAGCATTTTTGCCAACATATTACTGATCTCAGGCTCAGAGAAGCAGATGGCTGCCTTTCATACAACTCCTCTTTCACCTGGAGTTGCCTTCAAGGAACACATCAGTGATATTGTTTCACCTGTCAAGGTCCAGAGGCTTTCAGCCCCTTCTGCATCTCTAATTTGGGAAAACTGGGAGTGAAGACTGTATTCTAGAGCTGCTTATAATGCATTTAGACCATCATTGATGCCAGAATCTTTTTTTGTCAACTCTCAATTTGAATGTTGAGTGGCTCTTGGGACTAAATAAACCTCTTAATTAGTAAATAGATCATTGCTTGGAAAAGTGGGTACATTTTGCATTCTGGAGTTGGGTTAGACAGTAGTATTCCCTTTCATCTTCCTTGTCTGTTTATTTTACATTTTGACGAACTTCATCTTTCTGTTATTTAACTGAGGTTTGCTTGACAGTTACATGAACCCCATGTCCTTGTGCTGAAAGTTGGCAGGGGGTGCATTTTTGTTTATTTTAATGCATCTTCAAGTTTTTGTGTTGTTTTTTGCACATGTTAATGATTTGAAAAAGCCCTCTTCCCTCAGTTAGGATTCTAGTGAGATAGCAATGTGCTATGAGGGTCTTTGATACACAGATGATTTGAATCATTGCAACCTGTTTTCCTCTTCGTTGTTTTCATAGATAGTCTTTTTGCTAGTTGAGCACATGATCTAGGTTGCAGTGACAAATTTTCCTCCTTGAAGAAGAGATTACCTTTCAGCTCTTCTTTTATGTAAAATAGTTTCAGCTTTACACTTCCTGGACATTAAATATGTTTTGTTACACTATATATTTTTTAATGTACTTTTAAAACTGTACCACTTCTAAAAGCTTCAGCTAGATCTCATTCTTAGATTCATGCCATTAGTTAAGCTATCACTGCATTTAATTGTTGAGACTGCCATCATTACCTCTGTTACTATAACTTTTTTGGAATACAAATTATAGTAATGATTTAAAAAAAAAAATTGTACCAGCATCTACACATTTCTGATAATTTTAAAGCTGCTTTATGACTTTACAGTATGAAAATCTTTATTACCCTGGTATATGTTAATGTCTTTCTATTCTAGCAATGTGTCACCAGATGGGACCTCTCATAGATGAAAAGCTGGAAGATATAGACAGGTAAATGTGTTTTGATTCAAATTAAGATTCATTCTTAGAAATACTCATGTTGTTACTTAATGATACCTTAATCATTTCTGAGAATACTGGCAAAGAAAATAGGTGTATTTATTAGTAGCTTTTCATCTGGGAGGAGTTACGAAAGGTTTTTGCCCTAGTCACATAGTATTTTATACTATTGTACTGTTTGACATTCTGGCACTTGGCAGGAATTGCTTCACAGGCAGTGAGAATATTTTGCTTATCACAGCTCATGAAAGTTCCCTGTATTGTCTGTTCTGTACTGAAGTTATCTAAATCGTAGAATAAACTGTAAAATATATTTTCTAGGAAACACTCAGAACTCTCAGAGCTCAATGTTAAAGCAATGGAGGCTCTTTCTTTGTATAACAAATTGATGAATGAAGACCCAATGTATTCCATGTATGCAAAACTACAAAACCAACAGTATTATATGCAGTCATCTGGTGTTTCTGGCTCTCAGGTATGTATGCAACCTTTAATAGCCATGGACGTTATCAAGTATAATACATACTGACCTGTGGTTGATTTCTTATAAATTGTAAGTGATAAGCAGTTTTTCATGAGCTAACTTTTTACAAAACTTACTCAAATATTATTTTTTATGGTATACTTCTCTACATTACTAAAATATATATGATATATGAAGTGTGGTGGAGCATGTTGATTGCAAGTAATAATTTATTTCCTTCTGTTCCCACCGCCATTTCCCTGAGTTGGAAACCTCTTTTTATGATCTTTGTTACCATAATGCTAGGTTAAAATCATCTTGCTGCCTCAGAGATAGTCTCAAATGAAAGAGCAGTGTTTTCTCTCAACAAAGTATGTAAAGTAAAACAAAACATTTGTTTTCATCTGCAAGCTTTGGGTATTCTCCTTTTTTAAAGTTCTAACACTTTTAGTTCTTGTCTGTTCAGTTCTTTTCAATCAAGGAAGAAGCCCATCCTGTGCTTTGAGTTGCACATAAAGATTAAAGCTGCCAGATCTTTGCATTGTGGGTCAAAGAAAGTAAAGAACCAAAGGACTACAATTCCTCTTTGAGACTATACCCTCCCCGCTCTAAAATCAATCTCATCTTTTAGCTTCCTTTTTTTGAAATACCAGTAGAGGCCATTTAGCATTTAAATTACTGAATTATAATTCTTCATGGGAGCATTTCCATGTAATTGACTGTTATCTCTGAGTAGGTCTTTTGGGCTTATTCATAAAGCATAGTATTTTTAAAAGGTCTTTTAAACATTTAAATGCTTATTTCCATAGTCTAATGCACACTTGCTGTATTCTTTTCTTGTTTGTAGGAATATGTACCATTTCAAATTGCTTTTTCAATAATTCAAATCAGCTTATTAATACCTGTGCAGTATTATATAAACATTGAAGCAGATTTAGTTCTTTATAACTTCCTACAAATACGAACTTTCTTTCAGTGTTTTTTAAAGAGGATGTATGTTTTTGCAGTGTCATTAAGCAGAACATTGTCTTCTGTTCATATGTGATAAGCAATCATGTCGTGACCAAATCAAGTGATTCTGAAGGTTTGTAAATGGGCATGTTTCAGGGAATTCTTAAGGGAAAAACTGGATTTTGAGGTGAAGATGAGCCAGTATAAAGTTCTGAAAAGTTGGGAGTTCTTGTACCTTTGCTGCCTTCTAAAATTCTTTTGCAATATTGATAAGCCTTGAATGAATATGTCATCTGAGATTCATAGATTTTAAGATAGAAGTGCTGTATATCGTAAACTTACATGAACTCAGTTGTGCGTAAGACCTGATATTTTCTTCCAGTAATTTGTGTTAAGCCAAATAATTCATGATTGAACAAAAGCATAAGGTTTAGAAATTTAGTCTCAACTTAGAATACAGTTGACACATCTAGTAGCAAGCTTTTCCTCTAGTTGCAAAGCATTACCTTGTTTTCAATTGAATTTTTCTTAAGACCTTTTTGCCTTCTGACCTGCTCAAACAATTTTACAGTGGTAGTCTCAACAGTTAAATGAAATGATAGCTTAACTAATGACACGAAAATAGCACCGTATTGGCTTTCCATTTTAATGGTTCTACTTTGTGAAAGTCATCTGGGCATCAAAAAGTATGCTGCTTTGGACTGCTATTTGTTACATAATTTGAATCCTTCAGTATTGTCATTCAAAAGTACAATGAGTGATAGTCATTAAAATAAAATTTGGAATACAAGTCTTTCAGTAACCTATTTCTCCTTTTTGGTACTGGTGCCGGAGATTAGAAATGTAAATAGTGTCCTTTGATAATCTGGTAATTTTTTCTTATGGCAGTAGAACTTAATAGAAGACAATCAGTTGCTTTCTCTTAAAACATGTGTAATGAAAGGTTTGAGACGCTGTGTTTAAATTCTGAAGTCAGATATACCAAATGCCAAATTTTCTTGTGTTTTATTTTTAATATTTATTTATTTATTTTCCTAGGTTTATCCGGGGCAACCTCAAAGTAATGCATATTTGGTGGCAGGGAGTGCACAGATGGGCCATATTCAAGGCTATAATCTTCCCCCCGAACAGCTCTCTTCTCTCAGCCAAGGCACAGTTACTCCATCTGCCAGCTCAGTGCTGCCTGGTCAGCCTGCACAGACGTCTTACTCAAAGTAATTTAAAATATTTTCCTATTCAAGTTTAAATAGATTTAAACATAAAGGACTACAGATGATATTTAAAGGATATTTTTCTTACAGAAGTATAATTTTAAATACAACTGAAAGATACTTCAGTGCAATTATTTCCAGTGTGCTTTTAATTGGTGTCATGTATTTGGTAAAAATTTCTGATAAACTTCAAAGTTTTCTGTTGTTTTTATAATTTTCTCTAATTTATTTCTTTATATAAAAGAAAAATTAGAGAAAATGATGTAGACATGACTGATTTCCCCCCCACCCAAGATAACTTTTAATATACATTTAATGATAAAGGTCATTTGCTGCTCTGACTGGCTTTGCATAATTTCTGAGATGGTGTATATTGTATTGTTCTTTTTTCAAATATCTTAGTGTGGAAGCATGGGGAGAATTCTGCTCATTTTGGGAAAGAAGTGAATGGGCTATGAATACTTACTAAAACTTATACAATAAAGGAGCTACAAGTGGCTTTCTATTTTGGGTGGGGGCCTAAAGATGCAAAGCTTTGGCTAAGCTACCTATAGTGTGAAAAAGTTTTGAATTGACCTCAGGAAAAGATTAGGAGGGTTTGTTTTGTTTTTGTTTTTTTTTTTTCCTCTCTGTGTAAGTTTATTTTATAGAGTTGGGAGAGACATCTATCTTGAGTTATTAAAGTATTTGTTAGTGTTTGTCCCCAAAGTTTTGGGGTGGTAATACATATTGATGAAGCGAGTTTCCTCATACTGCACCTGACTTGTTTTGCTATTTAAAATGGTTGGGGTTTGTTTTTTTCCATGAGTGGAATGGAAGATAGATGGGCTTCCACGTTGCACATTAAAGTAAAAGAAAGTATAGATTCACAGTCTAGTTTTAAATCCATGGAAGGTGTGCTAGGTGTGTTTAAATCTGAGGAGCATGTTTGAGTTTTAATTAGAGTATTTGTTTGCTACAGTTTTAAGCAGTCCAGAGTTAGGAGACTTTTGTATGTAGATAACGAACAGCTGAAGGGGCAATAAATTACTGCTGTTCTGTTGGTAACTTATTTTTTTTTTTTTTTTTTTTTTTCAGTGCAATGGTTGGCTCTGTTGCTGGAAATACTTACTCTAACCAGGCTTCAGTGTATAGTCCACCACCTGCTACTGTTGATGTTGCTTCTTATCAAAATGCTGGAACTAATGTGTCCCAGGTGCCAAACTATAACTTAGCATCTACACCTCTGCCACAGACAGCAAGCAGTCAACAAGCACCACCACAACAACCACAGCCTCCGCCATCTCAACAGCCACAACATAGTTACTCACAAAAGGCTCTGCTATAGGACCCAGGACTTCTGATTCCTAATCTTTAACCTCTGCTAAAGGCAGTTGGCAATTCTATGAGTCTCTTCCTTTAATATCTTAAACTTTGTTTATCCTCAGCTTAATCTTGGTGAACAAGTTCAATTTGCACTGACTTTTTAGGATTTTTTTTTTTTTTAATTTTGCAGAGGAACAGATATATTTAGGACATTTGATTCCTTTTAAAATGCCTAAAAATTGGTACAAGGTTATTTATGTCTGGTAAAATTGGCTAGTCTGTGAAAAGTCAACACTTGCAAACTGTTGTGGCATATATGTTATGTACATAGAGTGTGTGATTGCAGTAGTGGCCATTTCGTATAGCTATGATGATCATGTGAATATATTTAACTCAATGTTTAAAAATAATTTACTTCTTTATTTTAGTCATGAACTGACAATTTCATAGTTTTGTCTAGTTTTATGACATATGTGGTGTCTTTTTCCAATGCAGGAAAAGCAGTAATTCTGTGTATCATGGTTACACTTACAAGCTAAGTTCTATATATGAATTTACAAACTTACCTGAGTCTAGGTTTCATTACTTCTTGAACTGAACACAAGTGTATCATGACTATTAGATGGCTTATCTACCAAAGTAAACTAGTTAACTAGTAAGTGATTTGGGGGGTTAACAGCAAATTATGATTCTGCTTCAGATATAATTAATAACTTAAAACTACTATTTAGAGGCTGCTAAACATATCATGGGACCATGCACCAGATCAGGATCTTGCATTTTATCATGAAAAGCATGTAATTTATTTTTTCCAAGTTCTTTTTTACAATAAGATCCAGAACTGTATTCTATGTGTGTTGGTAGAGATGACACCAGAGACAGAGGAATTGAGTTGGAAGCGGAACGATGGATTTTTAAACTGGAACACACAATATGAATAACACTACTTCATTCAAGTCTTCTTAATTAGAATACGGAGAATTATGGACATTTAAATCACTTTGCTGAACAAACCTTCAGGACTTTGTTTTATCTCTTGTGGCCTTGCTTAGCAATTTGTTCTGTTTACTGTTCTTACACTTCTGCCTTAAACATCTGTTTCAATTTCCAGTTGTACCATTTGAGTTTATTAGCTCTTCCATAGTATGAATAGTTTGAGGCATTTTATTTTCATTCACTTTCAGGTTACTTTGAATTCTCTTCTGCAGCAACATGCGTTAGCATTTTTTTTAAACTCTTGCATTTCTCAGTAACTTAGCCAGGTGGCTCTTTAAGGCATTGATATTTTCTTTCTGTAGCTAAAGTGCTATAAAAGGAGGAACGCGTTAATGGAAGGCAGCATTTTAGATATGTTTTAGATGTTTGATCAGTTTCTTGTACAAAGACTGTTTTACTTTGCATTTGTATTTGTATTCAATCTGTTAATGCATCCTGGTTTTCTCTTATCTTTTGCAGTGACTCTAATTCCACTTAAAGCAATAGTAGATGGCTTCAACATCAGAGATGTGTTTTCAGTCTTGTTAGTGTGTATGTCAGAAATTGTTCGCTTTTGTGTACGATATTTTAGTGTGATGCTTCTGGAATTAAATGTTGCAGTTGTACATACTGTAAGCTGACCTTAGTTATCCCATACACTCCTGCATCTGTCCACAGTTACTTAACATGCCTTTGTTTCACTGTTTTAATAGACACTGGTATTTCACCTTTTAATGCTTTCAGATGACAGCTTTGCATAACTTCAAACAGGGGTGGTTACAAACATGTGCCCATAGCTGATATGTTCCAGTTGTGGATGTTCTAGCCAGCTGGCTGTTTTGATACTAGTATTTTTATGGGTTTTTTTCTCTAGAATTCTTAAGCACCCTCACAAACTGTCATTACTTCAGTACTTGGTGTCATCACAAAAGTCTGTGCAATTTGAGAGGAAGTACTAAAAAACCCACTAAATCCAAGATACTGTGTCATAGATAATTTTTAATAGATCGAAGGGGTAAATTTCTTTAGAAATGGCATGTAGTATCATTTAGATAGTGTTTTCTATATCCTTCAGGTACATTATTCTAAAATCAGAGAAACTATGTATAGAAGTGTGTAATTTCTGCACAAACGTGAAAATAACTTTTTAATCCATACTTCTTAGGCCCTGATTCAAGGAGAAGCTTGAAGCTTTGAAATAATCCAGCTGACATTGACTATTTGTATTCTTAGGTTTTCACATGTTGTATCACATGTTCCCTAATAACGGCCTATGGAACCTCTGTACAGAAATGACTTGGCAAAAAATAATTTTTGCTACTAATTTGTCTTTGTTTTTAGAATTTTTGAAGTCTTCTTTCCTTAACACACAGAAATGCTTGTTCCTGGCTTCTCCTTTGAACACTGAAAACTTAAATGTATCTTAAGTTTTTCTGCTTTCTAACTTACATATTTTGGGCATTTATCCATTTTCAAGAAAATTAAAATCACCTTTCATTTGTGTTCATCATGACCATAAAACACTTTCTCAAATGCAATGCCACTATAAATTCAATATAATGAAAGTTGAGAAAAAAAGATGGCCACTTTTTATTTTTCTTCTTGCCTTTATTAGAGTCACTGCTCTAAGGTATCTCCTGTAACAAATTGTGAATTTTAGTTGAATTGGAATAATTTTTCGTTGTCCACAATTAGTGCAGTAGATCACTAGTGTCTTAGCATTTTTGCTGCATCCATCAGATACAATTTTCAGATTAAACTTGGAGCTGTATTGCTTTGTGTGGATTTATCTCATTTAACAGGAAAGATTATTTCATCTTTTTGTTTGGTGGTAGTATTCCATGTGCTAGATATTGTAAAGTGATGCCTCTTCCTACCTTGCTAGATGCTGTCATTGCACAAACTCCTTCACTCATCCTAAGTGATAATTTAGCAATTATATTTCAGTTCACCTCTTCTCTGCTGGTTTGGTATCATTAACCTGGAGATGCCACTCCTGGTGCTTCTCTGTTATTTATTCTGATAGTCCTCTTTTATGCATTGTTTTGACCAAGTTCACATATGTTCTGTCTTACTATAGTATTGAACACTGAAATATGGGTGAGAGGGGGAAAGTACATGTACAGCTACTGTATCAAAAAGCTTTTTAGCAAACAAATAAAGTGTCAGAAAGTTAATCTATTTGAAAGTTAAGAATCCCTGGAAATATGTTGTTCACGTTCCAGTAGAAGATCTAATTTTTGAATGTCTTGTTTCTTTACATGTAAATTGTTAATGAAATGCTAAAATGTTTTCATAATATTTTGTATAACCGTTTGTTATTTAACCCTTTCATTAAGAAATACAAAAATGTAAATTAACTTCAGAAGGAGTATTTTAGTGGCTTGGTTGTCATGAACTGGAGCAAACTCTGGAAAGTGCCTTCTGTGCATTTTGCTTCTATAAACAAAGCTTGTTTACCCTTGTGTATCATCTCAGTTTGTGGGCATAAGAAAGATGTAAAGATTTACTGTAAAGCATCCTGGGAAAAATAGTGAGGGAGCGTGTTAAAATTTGCTACACTGACGTCATGGCAGCGTGTTCAAGAGTGCGCAGTTGCAGGAACAGTGGCAACATTTACCCACCTCTGTTTAGTAACTGGTACCCATGTAGATGTGTGTTTAATGTCACTGGCCATAGTACATATGGACAGCAGTAAAAAAACAGTAAAAAGGAACAGAAGATAAGGGTTGACCCCATGCTTCTCAACAGGTGTGGAGCAGCGTATTGCCTTCATGGAACAGTTACTGTTCATGAATTGGGGGAACTGAAAGAAATTTGAGTAACCAGAGCTTCTGAGAATTCTGCCAGACTGCAAATGCTTAGATGTAACAAAGGAGATAAATTTGTTTCTAATAGCATGTACATATTTTGCTGATCAAATCTAGGCTGCTATTATAGTTCTCTGATTTCATCTAGATGGCAGGAACATCAGATTTATGCTGGAGAACTGCTTAATACCTCATTCTCCAATTGTTTTAGTATTTTCACTAATATCACCTTATTTTTCACTCACACTTCAAAGATATCCGTGCAGTCTTTACATATAAAGGTCTTACCTTATTCTTTGTCTGCTGGGTTTCACAGACAGCTACAGTGGCACTTTGAATTACATAACTGCAGCTCCCTTTGGAGAAGATGCATGTAACTGTTTTGAAAAATAAGGGAGCATCATTTTTCCAGTTAAAACCAGGAGGATTTTTTTTTTTTTTTTTAAAGAAATAGGTAAAGTTCCAAAAACCTAACAGCAGGCAGAATCATTTTTTACTCTGTTATTCAGTCTTGGTAAAGCTGACCAACTCCACACTACAGCTAGTCCTTTTTCAGCTGCAATGAAGAAAATTAACCTTCATGTGTGTACTATCCAACACCATAGTAAAACATGGGAAGGCCTTGAAGTTTGAACTTTTTTCTTCAATATGTAAAAAACCACTATGTATGTTTTTGAAGCCTTGTTTCTTAAATTAGGCTGTGTTTTAAAACATTCCATTTGCTACTATGTAAAACTGCAGATCTGAAGTTCACTCTTCATGCTGCTACCTTGGCAAAAAGGTGGCAGGAATTCTTGTTCTTCTATCCTGCATGTGCTTCTGAAAATCCATATAATTTTTGTCTTTGTCATGAAAAGGAAAAGAAGCCTGCTGCAGTCTGCTTTGGTTTTAATAAAGTGTACGCAGTAGCAAAGTGCATTTTTGGTTTTGTTTGTTTTGATGCTCCCTTTGATGTTGGCATATGTATATATTTAGATATACTTCACTGTTGTACAAGAATTGTTTTAGTAAATAACACTATTTGTAAAAACTGTTAATTGTTTTTGGTATGAATGCAAAATTAAAGTTGGAGTATTTAGTTCATTATGTTGCAAAGTCAATTTATAAGTTTCGTGGGAGAATAATCAAAAAAGGACTTCCTTTGCTGGAAGGAGTTGAAGATGCAATAGTCAAAGATTTTTAGTACTTAGCTCAAATTTTCTGATTTCAGGTGGGGTGGAGGTGGGTTTTTGGTTGTTCTGGGGACTTTTTTTTTTTTTTTGTATGATTTGATGCTTACACATGGGTTATATTATTTTTACTTTAAATTTTTTAGTCTGTCCTTAACTTCCTTCAGCTAAAATCCAAGTAATACATCAAGTATGCTGCATGTCATCTTTTGATAAGAAATACAGCATGAATATTTTAAAGAGGTGGTAAAGAACAAATGAGAACAACTGTATCTGTAGAGTCTAATGTATATATTTGCTTACACATCAATAAGAAAATACTACTGGCATCTTGACAGTTAATTTACACAGTTATTTGACAGTTAATTTCATTTCTGATGACAGTAACCCAAAGTAGTGTAAAACTTGTTTGGCTGATCTGTGAAATGTGTTGAAGATCAGGCTAAAGCCTGATATGTGAATCTACACTGCTGCTTAAAATACTGTCACAATTGAAACTTGGTAGTCTTGACATGTATGCTGTGTTTTTAAAACAATGTTAAACTTCACAAGTTTCTTGCTTAAACCAATGTAAGCATCTGAGATCACGATGGGACTTTGGGAGAAGTGGGCAGCAGTTTATCAGTTTGGTATGTTCTTGGGGTCTCTTCCTAAAAATGAGCTAAACACCTTAGAATAAGTGATTACGTGGTCTGTGAGTTAATTCAGTATGATCATTTATGTGTTTCAAGAGCATATCGGTTCAGCTGTCAGAATTAAAAGTCCTACAGATTGTGTGGAAATGAAACATGTAATAGCTGATTTGGAAGAGGTAGGGGGAATTAATACTGAGTTTGCTTTACTGCCCCTCTCTTTTGGATAGAAAACAGTTCTGTTTAAGATGCCTAGGATGAAAATACAGTTTGAGAGTTTGTCCCATAGTATGGAAAGCTTTTTGTAATATCTGCTGCCATGAATCTGGGCAACAGGTAAAATAAGTATCAGTCTGTGTTTGTGGGATCAGACCAACTATCTTCACTTTTGATGAACTAGTTTGTATGTAATCTCTCTTTATAGCAGTCACTTTGTATCGCATTATGAAGCTGAGGACCTTAAAGTATAGTCTTAACTACTGTAGCTGTTTTTCAAAATCTTGTGCTACTCTGTTGCAGGATAAAGACTTTTCTCTCACAATATTTGTAAATTTAAATTATCTGGATTATTTTAAGTCAAGGCTGTTTTGTTTGATACTGACAATGATCTGTGTTTTAAGCAAGAAATGAGAAATAAGCCATTGTGAGAGAACCTGTGGAGAAACTTCTACTGATTAAGGCTGATTTGCACTTTTTAAAATTCACATCAGTGTTGGGAGTGTACATGGGCAACATGCAATAATACAAAAAAATCATACAGGGGGGAAAAACGGTGGATATGTATTTCCAGTTGTAGATTGAAAGCCTCTTTAGAGTAAAATCTCTTGAGTTAATACAAAATACAAGAAATGTAGAGATCCTAGCACATAATGTTTTGCTTTAACTTTGCTTAACCCTGTTAAGCATGAATTTTGAGTCCTTATGCATGTGCCTTTATTTCTAGTCAGTGCAGGTTGGTGTTTATGCCCCATGTTCCTGAGGTAAGCGACATCCACTACCTTAGCAGCTGTACTTTGGATCCTCCTCATAGAGGGTCCTACTGAATCCAGTAGGAACAAGCTGTGTGGTTGGTAAAGCATGTCAGCAGTCTGACACTGTTCACTAGCAGAAACTCATTTGACTGGTCAGTGTCTGTATTGACCACTTTCTGGCTATAGGAAGCACACATATCCAGAAATGGAAGCCTTCCATGTATGCATGCCTGGCCACTTAATTTTACACAGTATAATTTATAGCTGTTTTCTCAGCTTGATTTACTAATAAGCAAACAGATCTGCCCTGACTGCTACTGAAATCACACTGGAATCTATTTCTAGCCAGTTGTGATGGCTCGCCCCCGACTCATGCATCCTCAGGTATTGACGGATTATGCAGACATGTTTACTTTTGCCAACTGTGTGTCAGACTGTCCCAGTTTACTGTGCTTCACAAAGGAGTGGGAACATTTAGATCCCTTGATTTTAATATCTTTTAGACTTGCGAAAATGTCCCCAAATTAGTCTTTTTCTTTGTTCCCCTGGTGACATATTCTTGTAGCTGATGCTGGAAAATTGTGGCAGAGTTCATTTAGGCAAACCCTTGCAGCAGAATACACGTGGCCTGAGGAATATAGGTAATGTGATGATTTACATAAAAATATGGTGTTTTACATAAGAACAGATGGAAGTCTCAGCTCAGCAGAGGACAGAGAAGTCATGGTTCTCTGGAACTGTGTAAGAACACAGGATCAGTACCGACCATCTCACTGAAATGTGCTATTGAAAAAGTCAAATGGATGTTTTTCAGATATACCATAGGTGTTGTCTAAGAGGCTCTTGTTAGGGGTGTGTTTGTTCAGAGGGCTCTTTTTGCTCCTGGTATGCTGACAAAAAACAAATAGTGAAGTTTTTCCTTTAACGGAGTCTATGATCTCAATTCATCATTTCTTGCAGCTTCCGTGGAATCGTGATTTAGATTATCTGATTGTGTGGATAATGACACTCAAGTAGGATGCAGCATTAGTGATTTTTTAAGACTCCAGCTCACTTAACTGTAAAGTAGATTAGACAATTTTCATTTAGAAATTTATCTTAGTAAGCTTGTTCTCTCTCAAAACAGACATGCTTTCTGCTCTTGAGCACTTCTTATCTTCCGGATAATCAAGGCTTCCTGTAAATGTTAGCTGTTCCTTCCAAGGTTTCAGTGTCCCACTGATCGCTTCGGGGGGCAACTATTTGCCTTGGTTTCTCAGACGAGTCCCTGGTTTTGCCTCTTCCAAGAACTAGACTCCCTTGAATTTGTCTACACATGAGGCTCAAACTGACACCAAATTTGTTGCTTGGTTTTCTTTATTCAGGACAGATAGTAGGTAGTAAGCAATTGATTGCATATCTGTAAATGCACTGAGCTGAGCAGCATTCAGCAGGACCCTTGTAGTTCTGCAGCAGCGATGTAAAGAATCCAAATCCCAGCTCTCCTGTGTCTATATGTATATTCAATCAGTTCCATATACTATATGTGTTTCCTAACGCCTACCTCCTTCTTTCATATTTTCTCATACTTGATCCTTATAGTAAGCATGCCCACAAATACTGATAGTAAATCATAAATATAATTAATTTTGTATATACATATATATTTCTGCATTTGGACATTTCCACTCTGCAGGTTGTCTTTCTATAGTAATACAGGCATCTTCTTGGGCCTTTAAGTTGTTTTCTGAAATGCAGACAGTCCCACTCTTTAATCGCTGAAGTACTGTATCTTTCCCTCATTGCTAATTCAGTCACACAACTGCTACAATTGGGCTTTGTATTTTTCGCCTTTCTGTAATGTTGCTTTGGCCTACAGTGTACTCTTCACATAGCACCTTGCCACAAACTCTGGCTCATCATTTTCTGATTCACTTCATATTTTGTTCATTGGTGGTACAGTTTCACAAGGGAAATAGCCAGATTTCAACCCAGGAAAAGAACACTTCTGTTTTGGGGAACCAAAGTTTGGTTCTGAATGGTTTAATGATACAAGCTGGTACTTGCATTCTATTTTTTTATTTTTATCCCTTACAGGATTCAGAAAGGCAATTACTTTAGTATGTATGGCAAGGTCATCCTAAACTTTTATAATTGGTTCACCATACATAGTGTGTTGTTTTTAAGAATTTGGTTATGTTTATACAATCCCAGATAGCATTTCAGCTTTCATCCCAGCTAGACCATGCACTTTTGCAGTGTTTGTCTCTGCTAGAGACTTTGTATATTCTTTCAACTCCAGTTTGTCACTGAGGTCTTCATGGGATGGAGGGATGCATGGAGGGATGGATGGAGGGATAGATGGGGAATGTAGGTGAAAGTTGATTGTTAATAGTCTAAGTGCAAGCTATCACAAATCTGCATTTATCAAAGTTTGTGTCTAGATTTTTCAGGTGTTAATTTATATCTTCCAAAGTGAAAGCATGTCCTTCAAGAGCATAGGGTTGCATTCTGCAACTTCCTGAAGAAAGATGTTTCTAAATCTGTGACAAATAGGGATGTACTTCCAGAACACCATGGATTGCTTTGACAGTAAAGTATTTTCTTTTTTTTCTACAGTGAGTTAATTTAAACACACAAATCACACAAATTCCAAGTAGTTATAAATGATACATTTTTAAGCATTATTG